CAATTATTTTTTTTTTAATTTTAATTACCCTCCATAATTTAAATATGATGGATTTTTTGTCTATATATCTTCTTTTCTGTTTAAAAGAAAAACAGGAACCTTAGAAAGACAATTGACACATTTTAGTTAGGTTAGATGTTTTGCAGTTCGTTAAATCCGTTAAATCTCTTCTTCTTTTAGCACCAAGCGAAACTAGCTAAGCAAAAAAAAACGTGCTATCATAAAATAAGATCTAGCGTGCCGTTTTAATAAATTAAGTGCACTAACATCATTAACATAATTATCTTTGGTTCAGTGTTCTCTGGTATTATCTAAGCGATATACAGTAGAGTACATGCTTATTTCAGTAAGTACCTATAACTTTTTGGAAAATGTTTAGATTAAGTAGCCATACGGAACGCCGAAAAATAAAACAAAAAACGGAACTCGATATAATGCCGATCCAACAAGTGGACCCTACTCTTCATTATACTACAATTCCCGAAAACGCCAATCCTGATATCAGTGTTACATCCGAGAAAAAAAAACCTATCCGTCACAACCTTCTTCATTAAATCTTTAGTCTGAATCATTGTTTGAAGTAATCTTACCTTCTCACAGGTTCCTTCATATATTTCACCTAGGTTCGATTGTGATTTCTCCTCTGCTTTAAGTTACTGGGCTGTTTTAAGAAAAATATTGTACTTCTTTAAATAAATAAATGAAGATAGTAAATCAACATTTTCCTAGTGCAAATCTTCCGAAAGATTCTCGTTCTTTATTACAAACACGCAAGAGGCTATCTCGAGTGTTATTGATTGATTCAGGCTGCTATAATTATATTGGTATTCAAAAATAAATTGCCTTTTTCTGTAAGAAATTTAATGTTTCTTTATCTGAGACAAGCAAATTTAATGTTGCTATTAAAATTGATGGATTGCCATTAAGCAAAAGTTCTGTCCGAGCCTTTTGGCCTATTCTGTGTTCTGTAAAATCTATTAATATATTAGAGAGTAAAGTTTTTGTTCTAGCATTATATGAGGGCCCAGGGAAGCCTCATCATCCAGCTGTTTTATTAAAAGATTTAGTTCTTCAAGCTTCAGATTTATCACGTAATAAAATTGAAATTAATGGGTTTTATTATAATTTCACAGTTGACCTGCTAATTTGTGACTTGCCAGCGAAATCTTATGTTCTGCAAATAAAGGACCATTCGCGTTACTTTTCATGCCCTAAATGTGTTGAAGAAGGAGAATTATTTGGTGGTCATATTTGTTTTGTAGAAGGCTCTTGTGGTAAACGTACTTATACCAGCTTTCGTCAACGGTTACAGCCTGAACATAATATTGGCTCATCTATAATTGAAAATTTGGTCAATTTTGATATCACTGAAAATATTCTACTTGATTATCTGCATTTAGTTTGTTTATAAGTAGTTAAAAGAATACTATGTCACAACAAATTTGGTTCGGTTTTTGGAAAACGACCTTTTAAATTAAGAGCTTCTCTTATATTTAAATTATCATCTAAACTTCTTAAATTCCGTTCCTATATTAGTAAATTAGTAAATTTAGTAGAAAGTAAATTTTAGTAAATTTTCTAGAAAAACAAGGAAAATAACTGATTGCAAAAGATACTGTTGTACTAAAAAGTATTTTGCCAAAAAGAGAATATATAAATTTTATGACTTTCTCAGTTGCAATTATGATTCTTTTAAGTGACTTTGTATATGATGAAAACTTTCTAAATTAAGCAGGAAACCCATTATGAATGGACAGCGCGGCGCAACACGGCGGCGGCGGCGCCAGCATAGCACCGGCCAAATTTATTTACATTGATTTAAATACAAGTAACCCATTATGAACAGCCAGCACGGCACGGCACAGTTCAGCATAGCACCAGCCGAATTCATTTACATAGATTTAAATACAACGTAACCTTTTTTTTTATATAGATGGGAAACGCCTTTAGGGCCGGAGTGTGGGGATCTCCCTCCCTACTCTACCCAGAGGGAGGGCCTACGCACTAAAAACCCATCTTTGCTACATAACCCTAACTATCCTGGAACTGCCGTGAAGCATGACATCGGGATAGTAGGTGATTCTCAGTTATCTCATATTCTCTAAACTATTCTAACATTCATTTCCATATATGTATATATATACATAAATCTTCCTTATTATTTTAATCAAGTCACAGTCAGTTTTTTATCACAGTTTAGTTCTTTATCACAGACAATAATATCACAGTATCACGAATTTTTGGCTTTAATCTCATCGTCTACTTTATGTTTCATTATGGTATGCAGCATTGATATAATGGCTCGGCACTTTTCTTCATCCTCACTAATGGTGATACCAACTGTGTTTTCCTCCAGCTTCCTTTGGCATATTTCTTCTGTTTCTTCCCTTATTGTTTGCCACCTAGGGCAGAGAAATATTGTATGACCCGGGCTGTCCACAGTATTACAGTAAGTGCAAGTGTCGCTGTCCCTTTTGCCGATTCTTTTTAGGTAGGTGCCAAAAACCCCGTGTCCGGTAATGGCTTGTGTCACAAAATGGTCTATATTAATTGCCTTGCAGTTTACCCAGAACCTTACATCTAAAATAAACGTTTTAGCCCATCCTTGATATTGCGACCACGCATCCTGCCATTTGTCCAGTATAATATTTCTGGCCTCAAATCTGAATTGGTCTCCATGTTTATACACTAGACTTCTTTGTTCTGTTTGGAGCTTTATCGGTGGGATACCGGCTAGGACCAGGATGGCCTTAGTTGGAGATGTTCTATATGCCGATGTTACTCTCAGCGCTATTTTACGATTTATGGAGTCTAAGATATTTTCGTAGAGTTTGTATTTTAGGGCTCTCTCCCATATGGGAGACGCATACAGAATCGTGGAAGACACCACCGAGGCCAATGTCCTCCTCTTTTCTGCCACCGGTCCCTTCAGATTGGGCATAACTCTGGATAACTGCTTTATGATTGCCTCTGTTTTTTCCTGAAGTTTTCGAATATGGGTGGTCATCCGAGCGTCTTTATCTAGCCAAACTCCCATGTATTTTACCGCCCTTGTGCTTTTAATGTTGGTATTGCACCAGCTAAATTCTACCTCCTTCATCTTCTGTCTTCCCGCCAAAATGACCATTTCAGTCTTATTGGTAGCTAACTCTATGCCCATCTCATCCAGCTTATTTTTAATAGTGTATGCTGCAGCAGTCATTCTTTCTATAAGCATGCTTTTGCTGGGGGCACTTGTCACTAGGGCTAGATCGTCTGCATATCCAATAAGACTGCACCCCGGTCCGTAGTCCTCTCTAAGCACTTGGTCATAGAAAACGTTCCACAGTGTCGGTCCAAGTATAGATCCTTGCAGGACGCCACATACCATTCTGAAACGTTCTCCATGTTCCGTAACAATGTACCTTTTATGGAGGTATTGTTGGAGCATTCTAATTAGGTACCCACTGATTCCCTTGTTTTCAAGTTCTCTTATTATTTCTTGCCATTGGGCCGAGTTAAATGCATTTTTATACTAATGTCAGGAGTGTTGCGACTCCTCTGGATTTGTAACTCTTGGCGTTTATATTGTCCACTATGTTTAGGATTTTATTTAGTGCATCTATTGTGGATTTGCCCTTTCTGAATCCATATTGGTTTTCATGGATGGCACCTTTCTCTGTAAGCTCCTTTTCTAGTCTATTTTTTAAAAAGGTCTCCAACAATTTAGCTCCAGAATTTAGCAAACATATCGGTCTGTACGACTTTGATGTACTATCTTGGGTTTTCTTTTCTACTAGTACCAGTTTCGCGGTTTTCCATTCCATTGGAATATGTCCTACCCTGAGACAGAAGTTCATGACATCCATGACCGATTTACAATCGTGTGTGGCGGCAGCTTTGATAACATCAATAGGAATGCCATCACAGCCCGGAGCTTTTCCCACTTTTAGACTCTGAGTCGCCTCTATTATCTCCTCTTCTGAGAAATATGGAATTTTATCTCTCTCAATGGTAATAGTCTGCCATTGTATTATCTTTACGGTCGGGAATAGTAATCGTATCTGTTCTCTAGTTGTTTCTTCTGATATACTTTTTTTATTTCCAGTACTCCACTTTCTGGTGACTATTTGGTACGCTTTGCCCCATATATCCTTGTTCAGGTCATTTAAGAGATTTTCCCAGGCATGTTTTTTGGCGCTTTTAATAGCATGTTTCAGATTGATTTTTGCCTCTTTGTAGTTGGATATTGCTGTGTCTACATCCGTTGATTCTCCTGCCCCCTTTCTGCCTCTAGTGATCTTTCGACGCAGACTGTTGCACGTTGCCCTTATCTCCGCTATATGGAAACTCCACCAATAAGTCATTTTTTGCCGTTTTCTATTTCTGGGTAAAAGATAGAGATTGCATAAACTCTTTAGGGATTTACTTAGACTCTGAGGGTTAGCCGCCTTCATACGCAAACCCTCACTCTCGCAGTGAGACCTAATTCGTTCCATACCCGATTGTGTGACCCTCCATTTGTACGCAATTGGTTTTGGTTTATCCACAGTTGTATCATTCGTGATCTCAAAGTAGATATTTCTATTGGAGGCTCATATTTTCCTCGCTTTCAGCCACTTTCCAGTTCTTAATTTTGAGGCTTATACTTGCTGTGGCCAAAGTTTTTTTTATGATAGTTCCTATCTCTGCCAGCACGCCCTCTAGCAACTGGCTAGGTTTGCTAGGGGAGAAATAACATGAAAAGAATAACGCATCACGAGTTTCAGCACAAACAAAACTTTCACAACATATATAATCTATCACAGACAACTTATTTCCAGTGTAAATAAACGCATCACAGTTTGTATCACAGATTTCTTTGCTTTTAGCAATCAAATTTGGTTCTTGTCCTAGTAATATATCGATATTTTTTTCGATTATGTTTTGTAGGGCGAGGTCATACGCTGCTCCTCGTCTGTCGATATTTATTTGGAGAAACCGGATTGTCATCTTTCTAGTTCATCAGATACGGGGTATATTTACTTGTCTTTTTTCTTTCTTTTCTCCTCTTTCAGTGCCTTTTTAAAGGCATCACACTTACTGCCGTTCGCGCTGTGTCCCTCCTTTTCGCAAATCAAGCAGTAAGTCTGCCCCGAACATTCTTTGGCATTATGTCCCTCCTTTCCACACTTAAAACATATTCCCTTTCTGTCTGGTCCCTTACAATCCATGACTTCATGGTCGTATGCCCAGCATCTCCTGCAGCTCTTAAGGCCAATCCTCCTTTCCACCTCGCATCTAACCATTCCTATTTTTATATAACTGGACTTTTCCAATATATTTGCATCTTCTTCTATTAGGTTTACCGTAATTGCCTGGGTGTTAGCGTAGTTTGGTCTCAACTCTCCTATTTTGACATCTTTGTTTTCTAGTGGCCCGAGGTATCCTTCCAGGGCAATTTGTATTTCCTCTTTCGATGTTTGGGAATCCATACCTCTAATATGGAGAGATATTTTCTTTTGTGTTTTACCCTCGAATCGTGCCTCGCATTTCATTCTTGCTTTTGATTCTAAACTTTGTTTTAGTTTCTCCAGTTCCTCGATATTTTTGTCCATTACTATTTTCAGTTTTCCATCCTTAGTGCTTCTGAGACCCTAATTGCGCCTCCAGATTCCGTAGTAATTGTCTGCTTGACAGTTCTCAATGTTTGTTCGTATTCTTGTTTATTGGTATTAACTATCAGAGCGTATGTATTTCTGTTGACTTTTTTTTTGGTTTCATTCCCACCTTTATCATTGGTATATATATTAACTTTAGTTTTATGAAATATGCACTCAGTCATTTTTCCCAGTGTCTTCAGTGGTATACATCTAATTTGATGAATTTCTATGACCTCTTCATTAACAGTCTCCTCTTTGAGTTGCGTCATTTTTTCCCATAGGTCTTTGGTCGTTCCATCGATCTCCAGAAGCACTACTTTTTGTCTTAGTTGCCGGCTACCTTCGGTATTTCTGATTTTCGTTTCCCTTTCTATTATACCTATGTCGTTCTTTATTTCCCTCAGCTTAGGATACCTTTCCTTAAAGAGTTTTTGGATGCTCTTGTCCATGTGCTTGTCATCGGGCTCTCTAAATACTACCTTAGTGCATTCGTTGTCGTTTAGTGGGTTCCCAACTGTAATTTCCGTGTTTTGATACATCTCTTCGCTCCATTCTACTTTTGCAACTTCTTCGAATTTTTCCGCGGTATCTATGATACTCAAGTTCACCCACTGATTTCCATTTTCTATGTTATCAGTTTGACATGCCACGTCCATTTTGCCCCAATTTCCGTCTCTCTGTGCATCTACCTCGTAGGTGGGCGTTTCGGCTCTTATCCATCGATGTCTCTCAAGCCAATCTTTAACCGCATTGCCTTTTATTGCTTCGCAGTTTCTTCTGAGCTTGGCAGCAGTTTCTTTTATTTCTCGTTTAGTGTTCACATTTTCACTGATAACCCTCTCCATTTCCTTGCAATTCTGGTATATTGCATTTAGGTTTTCTATTAATACAAAGGCTACTGGGCATTCGGTCTTGTTTATGCATTCTTCCTGTGTCATATTTGTTGAGGAATCCACCAATCTCCTTTTTTTATAAGCAGATTCAGACCCTATCGAGTTAGATCTCCTGAGTAGTCCTGTCGTAGCTTGTAGCTTTTGTATGAGGTTGCAGCAGCAATGTTTTTCGTAGAAGTTATATTTCTTCTAGTTTGTCCTCCACCTGTTTCCTGGGTAGCAGATTTTTAGATAGCCTAGAACTCTTTGGTTCCTGGGTTGCTCCCTCTCTGCCTACTCCCGGATTTTGAGTCAGTAGCAATTTCAATCCCCTCGGCCTGATTCACCACCAAGGAAGATCCGCAGTCGTTGGCTGACGGTCCAGTGGGGCCTGCTTTACCACCCACGCTCTGGATCGGTACTGGGGATCCGACCCCCTGCACCGTAATATCTACCTCTTTCTCTTTTTCCATCATGATTTGATAGTTTTGAGTTTTTTATCAGGTACTTCACCCTAGACTGGTAGCCTTCACCACGGCTGTGAGCCCAGTCCGCCCGTTGAGTGTTTATCAAGTGCTCCACCTTAGACCGGCTGCCTTCTCTGCTGCTGCGAGCCCGATCTGCCCGTTTTGGTTCATTCTTAGTCTGCTCCTCAAGTAAGACCTGTTCGGCAAGGGAGGCCCTACCAGTAGCCATGCTATCGCCGACATAGCCCTTACTCTCACTGAAGACACAAGCCCCCCCACCACGTCAAGGTAGAGAACCACGGGGGGGGGAACAACGTAACCTATTATGAACAACCCTAACCTAACCTAACCAGCACGGCGCGGCGCAGTCCAGCATAGCAACGGAACGGCCAGAATTCTCGAAGGGGAATAAAATCATGAAGATTTGGAGAGAGTGGAATTATATCCTAAAAAGGACCAACTTGTCTTTACATTTTGGTCTGATCATTTTCAGTCTGTTCATTATTTTTTTTTTATAATATATATTTTTAGACTGCTGATTTCAGTCGCCTTGGAGGAAGTACTGTCAGGGAAGTTACTAAAAGAATTCTTTAAACTAATTTGCTAGAAAAAAATCTTCTACACCTGTGCTAATGACGCAATATTGGTATCTATATCAGTGAGGTGCCAAGAAATGAACGAAAAGAAAAGGTGATATGTCCGTATTTTGACGAGATTGCCATGACTCAACACTTCAATATAATAAGAAGAGATACATTGTGAAGAGCTTTCAGGACAATGGAAGAAATCAAAATAGAAGGCCATTAATGGCAGACGAGTTAATGGTTTTTATGGCAAGAGGAATTTTAAAAAAGTGGAAGCAGCCCCTGGCCTTTTAATTTACTGACGGAGCAATGAAATCGAATGTAGTGGTAAAAATAATTAAAGAGGCGGTGCTGATATGCCAGCATGCTGGATTAAAACATAATCAAAAGGCACGTAATGTGGCTATAATTAATAAACTCTAAAAATATACGGCTGAGGAATATATCAGGAAGTGCGAGGCAGACAGGATTTTTCGAGCGAGGATTGGAGACAGAGGAACCGATTCCTCTATATGATCCTATGCATTTATTCGAGTATTAAGTTGCCTTTAAACAGAGAAATGGCAGAATAGAGATTACCAATTGGGACCATCTAAAAAAACTATCGGCAATCAGAAAGATTACGAATACAGGTGCTGTAAAAAATTAACTAAGGATCACGTGGAAAATAAACAAATTAAAGTTTCAATGGTTGCTCAAGTATTTCATAATAATGTGGTTTCATTAATGAGAAGGATGGCTATGAGAGGCAATGCTGTGTATCGAAATTATTTTTCAAAGCCTTCTTTTTTTATATTTCGGCCACAAAAAGCAGTTAGCACAGCTGAGATTCTCTGTTTTATGGACTAATTATTTCACAGCGTAAATGGGTCATAATATGTATTCATAAAAATAGGAAAACTCTAAAATGTGCAGTAAATAAATCATAACTGATGGGATAAATTATATAAAATTGCTATCGATTTGGGTAAAACCGCCAAAAGACTGAATTTTAACTTTCACGATTTAAAAAAGCAGATTAAAAAAATTAAAGAAATTACAGATTCTACAGAATTTTTAAAAGCAAAATTAAACAAACAGACCTTTGATTTGAAATGGCTCTGAAAAAAACTTCTTTTTTTAGTCATTCCTGAAACAATGTCTCAAAGAATTGATTAGGCAGTGGTTTGCTGTCCCGTTAAGAAAAACTCTAAATAATTTGCTAGGAAAAATCCCTCCTACGCCAGTGTTAATGACGCGAAGGTGTCAACAGATGGACGAAAAGGAAAAGTGTTGATCGCGATTGATTCAACACTTCAATATGATAAGAAGGAAAGACACTGTGAAAGTCTTCCAAGTCAACGGAAGAAACGCAAGTAGAAGATCACTGATCGCAGACGAGGTGATGGTTTTATGGCAACAGGATTTTTTTTTAAAGTGGAAGCAGTCCCTGGCCTATTATTTTAATGATGGAGGAATGAAATCGGATGTTGTGGCAAAAACAATTAAAGAGGTATTACTAGCATGCCAGCATGCTAGCTTAAAAGTATGAGTCCTTACACAGTGTAGTCAAGAGGCACGTAATTTGGCTGCAATTAATAAATTATGTAAATATACGGCTAAGGAATATATCAGGAATGGCGAGGCAGACAGGATTTTTGGAGAGAAGATCGGAGACAGAGGAACTCATTCCTCTATATAATCATCCGCATTTATTCAAATATTAGGTTTGCTTTAAATTGAGAAATGGCAGAACAGAGATCGCCAATTGGGACCACCTAAAAAACTATTCGAAATCGACAATCAGGAAGGTGACAAATACAGGTGCTGTATAAAATAAAAAAAAATAACAAAGGAACGTAGAAAATACAAAAAAATGAAAGTTTCAATAGTTGCGCAAATATTTAGTAAAAATATGCTGCGGATCGAAACTATCTGCCACAAGAAGCAGTTAGCACAGCTGAGATTCTCCTTTTTATGAACTAAATATTTGACAGCGTAAATGGGTTATGTGTATCCATAAAAATGGGAAAACTTTAAAATGTGCAGCAACTAAAACATCAGGTCCCAAAACTTTTTGGGCTAAAGCTATAAAAGTTTTCTCTTCAATGGAATTTTCTATCTGATCCAAAACTCATATAGTTCTACCATTAGTAATAAATTAAAATTGTACTTTAAAATACTTTTATTACCTGTGGTTTGGGATTCACAATCCTGAGGTAATAATAGGCGGTTGAAGCGTAGTGCTAGCCACATTACCTTCCTTGTATACCCAACGGCTCTAGTATGGCAAGCTGTACCTTGCTACTCCCAAGGCGTTAAACGCTATATACAGGAGCTATTATTATTATATTATTACCTGTGGTATTAGTGTGAATAGAACAATCTGTCGTCTTTATGTCCAAGGAATCTAAAGCAAGATACCCTCGATTTTTTATTTTGGATTCGTAAGGTGTGATGAGGTTTGCAATATCAGTCCCAATGCTACCTCCTCTGTAAATTCTTTGAAATCACTTGATAACAATTTTCTTAGCCAGAAAGAAAGACAATTTAAAAGGTCTATATAACGTTAAACATATGATACCGTCTTTATATAGAACCAGCTAGAGGTTGACGTCAGTTTTTCGTCAAGTTGTAATTCATGAGTACCAATCAGCCTTCAATCAATTCTTTATTAAAAGGAGGGAAGCTAACATATTTAGCAGTTTTTTTGCTAAGAAAGTGTAAATATGTTTTAGGACTTACAAACAATGTAGGTAAGATTTAGTTGGAGATGACAGGAGCCAAGCTGAATCCTATATTGTGAATGCAAGAGCCTATTTTGAGTATGCTTTACTGGCATCATAAAATAATTTTAATGGTTTTTTTCAAAAATGTATATTTATTATGATTAATACTTTGAATCAAATATGCCATAACCTAAGCTAACTGAAAATATATTACCAATAAAATTCTAGATTTTCATTTAAATGTGTAGATTAAAAATGTTAAACGGTATATTAACACCCATGTTGGATTCCATCCCTTCCTCCCATCCTTTACCCAAAAAAACTGAGTGGGTACGTAGCCGTAGTCGAGTACGCAGAGTGATAAGATCGGCCGAGTACACAGTGTACACCTTCAAGCGCGCGCTATCCTCAAGTGTTTTATAAGCAAAAAATCAACAAGTACGAGTCAAGAACGGGAATAAAGGTGAGTGCCCACAGTCCTGATAAATTAACTCACCCTAATGAACTGAGCCCCTTAATTCTCGCCCGTAACATTGGTCCTTCGAGCCGGATCCCTTTCTGAACTACGTACATATTTTACTTATACTCAATTAAATTGATTATCATAATTAATTTCTCAAAATTATCTAAATATCAATATAATAATATTTTGTAATATATTATTTTAAATATATTCAATAAAATAAATTCTCGAACAAAATCTATATTTATCTTCTCTTTAACGCAATAAAAAAAGGTAGTACATTTTTTGTCACTGGTTCCACTGACCAGCAATTTGCGATCGACCGATCGATTTTTAAATTGCCGTACCGGTGTTAAGCGATGTCTAGCGCTGTATCGCGATACTGGTCCGGATATTTCTTTTTTACGCTCAAATTTATCGATACGCATTTAGTCTCAACTCTAGTCTGTTCTCTCTCTTAATAATTTAATTTTTAATTAATAAATACACTCAATTAATATGAATACCTTAGTAAAAATAATAATTATTTTCTCATATCATATTATTGTAGAATATAGCATTCTTACTCTCTCTCTCTCTCTCTCTCTCTCTCTCTCTCTCTCTCACACACACACACACACACACGCACATACACTCTCTCAGTTAATTATTCTATTTCTCTCTTATTCTCTTAATTAATTACTCTCTCTCTCTCTCTCTCTCAGTTAATTATTATATTCTATAATATTTTATTTGCTCACCTTATAAAGTAAAAATATAATAATTATTTTCTCATATAATATTTTATTGTAGAATATATCATTCTCTCTCTCTCTCTCTCAGTTAATTATTATAATCTATAATATTTTATTTTCTCACATTATAGCATTCCATTTCTCTCTTACGCTCTAATTAATTATTATACTCATTTTCGCTATGTCTGCAGACGCTCGCAAATTGAAAACTCTTATAGCTCAACGCTCTGTAGAACTTACTAAAATTAAAGAACTTAAAAAATCCGCTGATCAAGCTCTTGATGATCCAAATTTTCGCCCTAACTTTAGATGTAGAGCAAAACACTTAGAAGATATTTATAAAACTTTTGATAAGATCAGTGGCGTCGCCAGAGGGGGGGCAGGGTGGGCCGTGGCCCACCCTGGATTAGCTTGGGCCCACTACTGGCCCACCCGCGTAATGTCCAGAAAATATACCGTCAACTTTCATCGGTTTGTAATAAAATTATATTATTCAACACCTAATATAAAAATAATAAACATTATGGTTAGTTAGTTCTTAATACGGCCCTGGCCAATTACAAGCCGTGTCCGTCGGTGCGTCGCCGTCGGTGCAACTCCAACAGTCGGTGTCATCTGTCGATTGTCGGATCTGCGCCTGCGATCGGCGCATATCACAAGCAATAATTAATCGCCTTGAATCATTTCATTCTGATCATTGTGACGTTATAACGTGCAGTTTTAGTCTCTAATATCAATCGAATATCGAAAAAAATACGACAAGAGAAGCCGAAATGAGTGACAAAAAAAGAACATTACGAGAATATTTTAGTAGTGTGGCTACAAGTTCGGGTAATGGCACATTAAAAAAGAAGAAAATAAACGATGACACAAAGGCAGATATTATCAACCATGACCATGACAAATTAGAAAAAGAACTAATGGACAGAAAAATAAACAATAACGATGAAAATGGCAAGTTAATGAACGATTGTGGTGATGCTGAAACTAACAGCGGTTCGGAAAGTCTGCATTCTAGTTTGTTGAGCGTTTTTAGTGAATTAAATGTAAGTACCCACTTGAATTTTATATTAAAAACGCACGTTACGGTAAACTTCACGACCCGACTCTCGGAATTTTGCATTATTTTTTACACACTATTAAAACACCTTGGAACTTGGAACATACATATTTTCCTTAAAAATCACGGATTTGGTCCATTAAATGAACATTTCGGCAAAATAAAATCGTGACGTCGTGATGACAGATTAGTGCTAGGCGATCTTCCGGATCGGTTTCGTGGCGGCACCGAGCGGCGAAAATAATAACCACGGAATGTTGGCGTTGTCGCGTTAGGTAGACAGGGCCCCATTCAGCCCAAAACGAATTTATTGTTTTGCATAATAATATGTAAAATTCCGAGGGTCGCGGTCGTGAAGTTTACCGGACCCAAATACCTTACATAGTTTATATAAATTGATACTATTTTAGATCACTGACGAAGACGAAGATGATGAACAAAATATTAGTCCTAATAGTGTTAGCAATGTCCCTCTTCAAATATCAAAACCAGTTGGGCCAAACGATTTGGCTGTCTCACTAGAAGATGGTCCAGTACAACCAAAATTAAAAGTTTTTGGCCAAAAGAAATATGGAAATCGATGGCGTAGTTTCAAGTCACATTGGTTTGAAAGATTTACCTGGCTTGAATATAGTGCTTTGGAAGATAGCGCCTATTGCTTTCCATGCAGGTTTTTTTCGTCTCAAAGATTTGAAAAAAATGTGTCTTTCATTAGCCTTGGGTACAACAATTGGAAACGAGCGATGGAAACAGATTCTGGCTTTAGGAAACATCTGATTAGTGAGCAGCATAAGAAAAGCGAAGTAATGTGGACTGAATTTAAACTTAAAAAAGACAAAAACATTTCAGTTATTAACCAGTTGTGTGACGCTAATTTAAAACAAATTGAGGAAGATCGAAAATATTTAGGAATTATTATTGAATGTCTTCTTTTTATCTCAATTCAAGGAATATCTTTTAGGGGTCATAATGAAACAGAACATAGTTCTAACAAGGGTAATTTTTTGGAATTAATAAACTTTTTAGCTAATAATAATAGTGTTCCAAATAACTTCCTTAAACTTAGGTTGCAAAATGCCCATAAAAACGCAAAATATTTACATCCCACGGTTCAAAACGAAATTTTAAAAACAATTTCTGATCTTATCGTTAAAGAAATTTATGTAGAAGTCAATAAATGTGATTTTTATGCCATAATGGTAGACGAAACAAAAGATATTTCTAAAAATGAACAAATATCGATTGTAATAAGATATTACTATCAAGGTACAATTTATGAGCGGTTTTTAGGATTTAAGTGTGCAGAAGCGCTTAATGCCAGAACTTTATTTGCACATATAAAAAGTACATTAAAAGAGTGCAATATTGACATAAACAAATGTATTGCTCAAACCTACGACGGTGCAAGCGTTATGAGCGGGAAAAGTAGTGGAGTACAAAGCTTATTTCAACAAGAAGTACCTCAGGCTATTTACATTCATTGTTTTAATCATAAGTTAAATTTAGTGCTTGTTGATGCATGCAAACATGTAAAAGAAACTGATGAATTTTTTGCTATTTTGGAAAAATTATATGTCTTTTGCTCAGGTTCTAATATACATATAAAATTCATTAAATTACAAAAACAAATTTGTCCAGATAGAAAACCTATTGAATTAAAACGCGTTTGTTTTACAAGAAGGTCTTTCTTTCTGGGAATTGGGATCTGAAAAAGACGCGTGTGTCGGCGTCCGACAAATTTTCCAGTGAAAAGCACTCTGAATCCACTTGTCGATTTCGATTGCATGGGTATCCGATTTGGAGATTTGAAAACCTTGTAAAGTATGCAATCCAGAGTATAGACCGTATTTGTTTGGTTTCTTCTTGGAATGATCACCTTATTTCCGTTTGTTATTTCGTTTATTTGAGTATTTAATTACTGGTTTGGATCGGCATATGGTTTGAATATATTTATGTAAAGCTGATTTTCAGACCAGTAAAACTACCACATGATATTAAGTAACTACCACATGGTACTCAGTAATTACCACATGGTATGCAGTAATTATTGTATGTTTCACCCACTTTCATTTTGTATGGACCCATGCAGACCTTAAGACAGTGTTCCTGACATTGCGATCGTTCTTTTGGCTGATATCGAGGACTTCTCCTGCCATAGTCATCTGCATCCACTTCTGTTAGTCTGGAGAATACCTAACTACCTGTTTACATCATAAGAAACTATATACAGATAAGTCTTAAGTTTGATACACAAGGTACGCTTTTATTTTATAATTTTTGAGACAACAGATTTAATAACCTGGTAAATTATCACTATTTATCCCACATATTGTAGTCAAAATTATTTTTTATTTAACGTTATAAGTTATAGTTTGATCCGTACAGTACACTCTTACTGAGCTATGATATTTTATATGAAAATTATTAACACGTATTCATTTTAAAGGTTTTTTGTACACGACATGTTTCGAAACATCATCGTATTGAGACATACATAAATTTCACCTGTTTTTATATTAAGTGGCTTACTTAGTTCAAAGAATACAGTTACTAAATTCGAATCTATTTAAAATAACTTGCGGTTTTATTGGGATCACTGTGACTAATTGATGATACTTGTGTTCGTTTTCAATAAATGTTTAATGTAGGATAGTTATTTCTCTGACTTTTATTCCTGATAAACATAATAGACCCTTAATGCTGTTGATTACTTTATTTTAGCTATGTTGTGATATCGTATTTTTCTTTTTGGTTTCTTACTTTACCACTCTCATAAACAAAGTAAGTGGCGCCCTTTTCACTGTCTTTGACCATACCTATTTGAATTCTTAACATCAATATTAAAATCTCTGCAGCCTATATATGTTATCATTTTTTTATTTTTTAACAACATTAGAAAGTCACTGTGAGTCAGAAGCCTTACCTACGAACCCAGCTTTCCTCTAACCCTGAGCAACGGATTCTTTTTTCATTCTATTTGGGTAACGACAGAAAAATCGTCACAAAGGCAGAGGTCATACGAAAACAAAATATTTACAAGTGCTTATACATTCTATTCCAAAGCCAAATTATGTTATTTACTTTTATACTACACGTATATTATACGTTAAAATATTTCGTGCTTTTGTTCTGCAGATATCAAACTTTCACTTTTTTTATCAAATATCGATATATTGAATGATGTAGATCTTTTGAATTACCAATAGTTACTAAAAAGTAGTAAGCAATTTTGATGCTAGATTATTTGTAGTTTCCATGCCCATATTTATTTGTACCAGGCGTTGCCAAATTGTTGAAAATAAAAACATAATTTTTAGGAGTCTCTCACCGATTCACCGGTTAGTTTAGGTTGAAGTCAGCTGCCAAGAATTTTTTAAAGCCCTCAAGAAAAAAAGGCGTTTTAAAATCAACATCTAAGACCAGTTTGACCGTTTTGTGGGATGTCGTGATGCAATTTTTGGATCCCAACTTTCTTAGTGACAATAAAACGAAAGGTGTTGAGACCCATTTGCAATCATTTTCCATTGTTTTATATCGAAAATAGAAAAAAAGTTGCGTTTCCTTAAACAATTTTCGCAAATAGAATAAATCGTGGCTAGAAGGCATTTTATTAGTTACAGGGAATTAATTCAAGCTGAACTGGTGGGCGCTTAAAAGTTTAATTTCAATCGGCTAGTATAAACACGAAACAAAGACTCGTTAAAGGGTTAATAGAGGACTTTTCAAAAGAAGATTGGGTTTTGCAAGTACTGTGAGCTTTAGGTCTAGTGGGAGTAAGGATGCTGCTATAGTAATTGTTGAAAACTCTGAAACTCTATCGAAAGGTACTGAGCAAAATAAAAAAATAAAAGCAAAATAAAAACACTAAATCACCACAATACACCAAAACACTTTTACTTTTACACTGGACGCGCGTTTCGCTAACCATGTTAGCATCATCAGCAGATGATTATAAACTCTAAAGTTTATAATCATCTGCTGATGATGCTAACAACACCAAAGGTTCCAACCCTCAACTGTAAGAAAGGTACTGAGTTCAAAAAATCAATGAATGTTAAAAATATGCTATAACTCTTCTGGGAGTGTAGTGCTAGCTCTGTAAATTGGGTGCTAGGTAGTGCTAGGTGAGTGCAATAGAGTGCTAAAGTTTTAAGTGAAAAATTCAACCGGGGGGAGGGCTAACGTTACGTTACCCCCCCCGGTAAAAATGTCCTGTAATTCACTAGGAGTTGTGGTACTAGCTCTGTAAGTTGGGTGCTAGGTAGTGCTAGGTGGGTGCAATACAGTGCTAAAATATTAAAGAGTTTGGACAACCGGGGGGCTACTGTAACGGACCCTAATGCCAAAGCGAATTGTGATATGGTAAATTCCGTAACAGCCCAGAACGGGTACTCTCCTTTACGGTAGAGAGTACTACTAGTGGTACTCCGTTTATCATTATACTAAAGGCTGGGAAAGGTTAGTCTTGGGTCGAGATTGCGGTATGTAAGAAGCGAGGTAAGAAGAATACAATGCGTTTATTATGTACTGAACAAAGAGAGAACAGTAAACACGTTGCCAAACGTATGAAATAAACCGAGAAACTGTGCACATAGCTAAGAGACGTGGAAGGGGATAAGCAGATTTTTCGCAGTCCGGTGGACCCAATCAGTACCGCTGTCAGTATACTCTGTTTTTTTTCTCAGGTAAGATTTCGACAGACGACGACAGAAGAAAAGCAGATGACGTCCAATACCAATCTATTTATTTTACTAAAATAAGTTTCTAATATTTTTTAAATTAATTATATTAAATATAAATCCGTCATGCGTTGTCTCTTGTTGTTTTTAACCAGTTTAATTGGTTTATTTTAAAAATGACAGATCATATTTCAATTTTATTGGTTTGACGGAACGATGAACGACAAACGGACGCCGATATTTATGAACTCGCCTTTAGATTTTTGATACTTGTCTAAGTCTTTCCAAATTATAGGTTATAATTTTGTGTCAACTTATGTCAAATATCTGCGTTGTAGAAGATGCACTTTGATTCGTGTTATTACGTGTTTTGTGTCTTTTGAAGTCAAGTGGAGGAAAAAGCGAGGGAAAATTAACTGTACACCAAGAACACAATTTATAGTTATTACTCGCTGCCCAAGCAGAAAGTCTTATAAACCAATAGAGTTATCATCAATAAAGTTTGTATACCATCTCGTCGTAGATAAGTTAATCTCGTATATGCTACAAGGATCATACTAAACATGTACCACTAGAGTAGCTGTAAAATATCGACATCACACGATAGGTAAATAATGTATTTTATTACTGCAGAAAGGTACTGGTTTAAAAAAATTAAGATTAAATTAATTAATCAACCTTTAAGTTATAAAATTTGGTAAGTGTTATTATTAATAAAGTAGTTTGTTTTATTTATGTTGTTTTATTTCTTCCTGGGGAATATTACATATTTGTATTTGTACATAAGTTATATTGATATACTATTAAATGCGGGAAGTTCCTTGAAGCTTCAAAGTAAGAAATAATTATTTTTATATTTTTGGTACACTTACCAATTTATTAACTAACCACTAGTTAACCAAACACCACTGTGTTTTGTTCTTATTTGTTTTGTATTAAAACATACCCGTTTTTTTTTATAAAATAACTCGATTACATTTTTTCAGTTTTATACAGTTTTTTTCACAATATTTTCAAGTAATCACTTGTCAGTTAAGTTTTAAATATATTAATTTCCTGTTATGCGTTCCAGTTGTACCAACTTATTTCTTTGTCAAATAAAATAAACTACTTTAAAATAAAATGACAGACACATCTATCACTGTCAAGGATCTTGTCGTTGGACAGACTATACTTAAAGTTCTAGGAAAAGGTGTACGTCATGCGTTCAGCTTCACGATTTAATTACGTCTCGCGATACTTTATTGGTTTATTTATTAACGAGTCGTTGTAATTTTCCCTATAGCTTGAAAAACTTTACGTGCAAGTTAGAAACACTTGCATTTTTGGTAAAAATAAGTAGAACTGAGTTGGTGTTCGACAGTGGTCGCGCTATTAGAACTCTGAATTCAAAAATCAATATCTCGAAATCTACTAAAAATAATTGATTGTACTTTTCAAAAACTTTCTTAACCTTTCTGCAATATTTTCTTCGCAGACAGTATGGGAAAATTTTTATAAATAAAAAAGTTACACGATTGCTGAAAATTGCTATGCACTAAAAGTAAATGGATGTGTTGTTTAAAATTTTTGAATAGGAAAAACAACCTTATTTTTTCTTATTTAAAAAAAGTGGTTCTTAATAATGGCGTGTTATGTGTTAAAAAGTAGAGTTTTTAAATTATCGCGATTACGGACGGTTTATCGTTATAAAAAAATGGACACCCTAACGATATCCTTATAATTCTATTTCAGATGCTCAGAAACATATCTAATGATTTTATCTAGTTATATTTTCGAAAAAAAAGTCGTTTAAAAATAAGCGGTTTGCGATCGTGATTTTACTTTACTTGATAGGGAAAGGCGTATCGGCAACGCCGCAACAGCAGATCGTCACATTTCTCTCACTCCGACTTAATAAGATCTCTATGCGATTTACTTCCACACACATGTAAATACCGACCCAAAAGTAACAGTTGCCAGCACGGTAGATACAGTAATTTCAACAATTGTCATAAAAAGTTAGGATTTTTTTACGTAAAAAAGGTGCT